AAGCCATGCTCATACATACTGCCTGCTTAGATTTACAGATTTGATATGTTCTGTGCAAATTTATAACAAAAGAAACAATTCTTTTTATTCGCCCAACTTTCGAAAGCAAAAGGAAACCTCTGAACGGCCACGAGCGTAAGCGCTGACGTCAGGTAACTAAGAGAAATGGAACAAGCAACGAGAAAGTGATGTACCAATCAGAATGCCAGAACCGTTACTAGTTACCGGCCTCTTGTGGCTTGGTACGCCATGACACTTGAGGCGGGAACCAGCCAAGTCGGATTACTCTATTTCTATTCTCGGGGGCGGACTACGTCACAAGACGTTCCAAGTTGCTAAGACGCGCGCCACTGTACTGTGCATTTCTATGGGCTCTGTGCGCGCTGTGCCGGTGAAATTATAGTAAACATGCACTGTGTGCGTGACTCGAACCCGCGCTCGCGTACTGGATAGTAGGAGTCGCGTCCTAAGCGCCCCGCATTCAACGTTTTCAAAAAGCGCGCGTCTTTTAACACGCATTAACGCTGCAGGTCGGCGTCCTCGAAACACCGACACAACGGCGCTAGACGTACTCTAAAATTACGAGTCTAAGCAAGGTGCAAAAACCAATCTATGTTAAAATCAAAACATGTCGCAACAGCACTGTGTGTGCTACCGCTTTCTGGCTGCAATGGTACCAATATCTTATTTAGTGAAGATTTTTTTTTCATCTCCAGCATTGTACTGAGACACGGTCTAGGTAAAAATGGCGGGAATTTGACAACGTGAACGAAAACGAATATGGGGCATTTTCAGCAATGAACTTGGCGGGCTCTCTTAGGACTCATAATTGAGTGTCCTCATCAAAGTACACACTGCAAATAATGGTGGGGGAATCATGAATCCCGCCAAATCGAACAGGAGCAGCTAGAAACAAATATTTATATATATTAACATGTATCACAAAAAAAAATTGACAGACATAGTACGGTAACTCTTTTTGGAGGATGTGTTGGCCCTGAAAAGGGCCGTTTGGTTTGGTTGAAGTAGAAAATTACTACTTCCTGGATTTCTTCTTAGGCGACCTCTTCTTTGCTTTCGGCTTTTTAGCTGCTGGTTTCTTTGCCCTTGGTTTCTTTGGCTTAGCAGACTTCTTGGGAGATTTTGCCTTCTTAGCCTTCTTCTTTGGGGACTTCGCTTTCTTTGCCTTTGGCTTCCTTGCCCGTGGCTTCTTCTTAGGAGTCTTCTTCTTTGCGGCCTTCCTTGCTCTTGGCTTAGCAGCGGGTTTACCGACACGGAATCGACCGGTCACACCAACATGATCGTCTCCTTTAGGACGAACAAGTACACCAGACTCCAAACCAGACTTGAGTGCACGACGAACCATAGAATTCAGGTGAGACGCAGGTACACTGAAGTTGCTCCTGATGTAGTTGCGAATAGACTGAGCAGAACTACCCTTTCTCTCTTTTTGTGCCGTTATCGCTGCTACTACCATGTCAATGGTTTTCGGGTGGGATGGTGTAGCCCGCTTCTTCCTCGCCGCCATCTTCTTCTTCTTTGGAGATCCAGATGAGCTCATGATGAATGTTTGCGTAACTTGCTAAACGAAGTATAAACACAAATTGAAT